AAAAAAAAAAAAAAAAAAAAAAAAAAAAAAAAAAAAAAAAAAAAAAAAAAAAAACGCGGGTTATAAGATGAATGCTTCATCATTGCATACAAGTATTGCAATATTACCTACCTTTGGTGATGCATTGCATCTCTCTCTCATACATCATTTCATTTCACCAAAAATTTCTTTATTAAAAAAAAGCATTGCAATATTACCTCAAACATCACAAGAGTGGGCTCTATAATATGTTCAGGAAATGAAGCATTAGCTGCAACAGCTGCCACTGTTCCCCCTTGATAGTCGCGTAAAACTGCAGTTTGTGTAGCTGTTGCATCTTCCAAGATGGTCTCTTGAGTTTCGAGAAAAGAACTGTCAGCAATGTTTCCATCAGTCAATCGATCATCTTCCACTCTCCGTTTCTTAGTTCCAGCATCAGATCTATCTTGAGAACGTGCCTCCTCTGACACGTGTTCAAAATTGGTTTCCATACTAACTACGCCATCAATTATTTCAGGGTTGTTCACTTGATGCACATGTCTTATATGAGAAGAATCATCATTGAGTAAAACTGATTGGTTCATATAACCTTCTCCCACATTAGTCATCGGAGAAGACTGCAAATGAACGTGAGGTTGAATAGCTGGCTTGGCTATCCACAAACCAGTACTATCATCACGAACATATATTTGAGGAGGGGCGTACCATTCATGATTATCGACTGTGACTAGGACAGACTGCGGGTATCAAAAGAGGAAATAACAAATTGATCAGAATTCCAGAAGGAGAACAGTATGCATTAATGCATAAGAAAAGAATCAAAGGTTCTTTAAATGTAAACTTGACAATGCAAAGGTGAACTTAAAATAAGAGAATTGATCTATGAAGAAGCTTCAAAGACAACCTTATAATTTTACATAGAAATTGGAATAATGAGGCTTTTTAGTTATTCCTCTTTGATTATTTTTCCTATACAAGAAGCTAGGCTTTCAATACAAGAACATACAAACAAAAAGCTGAGAAAAAGAAGCCCAATGAACTAAAAGAAAGACTTCAACACAAAAATATGAGGCCTAAGTAATAACTACAAGAAAACTCATGTGTATGCCCATTTTCTTTTTTTGTTCGACTGGCTTGCTAGACTCTTGTGTATTCACTCATTTTTATCTTAATGAAAGATAGTTTATGATAAAAAAAAAAAAAAAAATGCTCCATCTTATAATTACCTACCTTTCTTCGATGACGATCTGTATAGCTTATATATTCCAATGGAACTCGAGTACCCCTTGACAATTTGGATAACACTGAGACTAGATCCCCAATTCTTAAAATTTCTTCACCAGCAAACTTCTTAATGATAGCATGACGAGGAACGCCTGCTCTAAACAGCATATACCTGCAATATAGAAAGTATACAAACCTCTTAAATAAAGAAATATTTCAAATAATAACTTTTCAAATGGAAGGTCAAGTTCTTCCGGATCAAACCTGTGTGATTTACAGAATAATGAAAGGGAATAAAACGAGGGAAATAAGTATGTTGAAGAAAGAGAACAGAGTTCTAAGAGCATACAGAAAAATAAGTTCTAAGAACATACAGAAAAATAAGTTCTAAGAACATAAAAAACATTCACAAGAAGTACTCTAGTCCCTTCCTAAATGCTTGTGATTTCAGAACGATCGTATGAAGCAACAGCCTAAGCACTAAACTGTTCTGATTAAATATTTGTATTTTTTTTTTTTTTTCTTTTTGACAAGTCAAGGAATGAAAATTGACTCCACAAAAAAGAGTCTAATGCTCAAAAGTACAAAAACTAGAAACAAAGGATGAAATTATCTCAGGTGTAGACACGACTCCAAAGTAAATTTTCTTCCTTCGTTACAGCTACTGGCTCCATTTCCATGACTCTTTGGAGAACCTCATAACTTGGAAGAAAATCCTTCAACAGCTACCAAAAAACAAGCCAATCTTATTTGGAGAACCTCACTAGAAACAGAAAGTGACCAAACACAGCACCTAAAGTACCACCCAGAAGGAAACCTTTGTTTTCAACAGTCGAATTGTACCATTTCAATCTCTGATATGCTTGAGGAAGTGCATAGGTACAGGAAGATGCAAAAGGTCAACAAGGGATCCCTCTAACCATCGCAAATAGGCTACGTAAAGGGGGGTTGATGACTTGCTCTTCATATTTTCAACAAAAAAATATGTCCTCTTCTATCCAAATGCAAAAGTCAATAGAATTAACACTACAACTCCTTTTTTCTATCACTCACAGGAAAATAAGATGAAAAATAAAGGAAAGCCAAATGAATGAACTTATCTTAATACCCAAATTTGAACTTGATGATTGAAAGAAACGTGGTATGGTCATGAGAAGATGACTAGGATAAATTACTACCAACTCTAGCTATGAGAAAGCACTCACTAAAAATAACATAACAACCAATATAATATCACAACAGACGTACCCTGGTTCTGTAACATAGACAAGACCACATTTAAAACGGAAGTTTCTGGCCTGCATTGATGAAAAGCTAAACGAAGTTATTGTGCTATTCAAGAGACATAATCATTAAAAGCTATATACCAAGGGAAAAAGTAGAGATAACCAGTTAATAATGGTAAAGAGAACCTATAAAGCAAGCTAAACATGGCTTTGGTTAAAGAAACAGTCGACACAAGCCTAAATAAGCTAAACTATGAACTTTTGAAGCAAACATGAGCTTGAATATACTGGCCATGCAAGTATACAATGCTTTAAATACAAATAGTCGAGGAGAACAATGGAGCGCCAACATTTTGCAGTATCCACTCACCTGCTGGTATGAAAGGGGATGTATCACTGCACCGCTTACTTCTAAAAAGTAATCAGGAGTTATGGAATGTAGATCCTGTACCTGAAGTTTATATCATAAGCAGATCAAGCTCAATAGCACATTGAATAAAAACAAAGTGGAAATATTTTAGTAACGTTATCCGATAAAAAACAAACGGATGAAAATATAAAAGTGACAAGTACATTGTCATGCAAGAAAATCAGCTCATTTGATTTTTCATCACATTGGAGACTCCTTATTTCATAAAACAAATGAATGACCATAAGTGCTGCTACACCATTGATAGAGCCTGTTCAGAATTATTTTCAGGAATCTCCTTCTTAAACGTTTGGGTAAATTCTTTAAGAGAAAATAAACAAAGATGTTTTGCAAATAATGCCTACAAAATTAAACATTGATGAGTTCAACATTACAAAAAGAAAACGCCTCACCACTAGGTGTACTGTAAATGATGTGCCACCCCTTTCAACTTGCAAATCAATTGTTTGTTTCACACTGTCATCGAGTAGAGTCTCCATTTTCAGGAACTGAGTAATTACCTGTACCATTTTTTAACAAAAGAAATTTTCATTGTAAAAAAATAATTTACATGGAAGATTAAACAAGGAATCTAGTCAACCAAAAACAGAAACCAATTTTAATATTTTGATAAGAAACTATTGTATTAAGGAAGAAACTCTATAGATACAAAACAAGCACATACACAAAAGATGATTATTAGTCAGAGTCAAACCCAAGTCCAACCTTGGGAAATAACACAAATATTCTCGACCAAACAGTCCATCAGTAAAACTCTTTAGTGCCCAAATGCGCCTGCTCTCAAATCGTAAAAGGGTTCTTGTTACTTATTTCTCAACAAAAAAGATAAAGACGAGGTTATTGATGTCTTTGTCAATAGACAAGGAAGGAGAAATGAACGTAAGAAGACAGACTTCCACAGTAAAAGGCATAGATCAAAGGAATAAACAATTGAAGTCTTCGAATTAAAGATTCTTCTTACTTCTCCATTCACGCAAACAAGCACATCACCTGGCTCCAAAAGTTTGTGAGCAGGGCCACCTGGCACCTGCAACATAGTCAAATAAATGGAAGGTTAATATAAAGCCTAATTTTTTTTAGAAAACAACTATTCAGTAAAGGATAGATACCCCAATTAACACAAACATCATTGCAATATAAGTCGATAACTTGAAATTGAAAGACAAAATAAATATTATTACCACAGAGTCTACAACTAGCATTCCAGTTTCACTGGGTGGAGAAGCCAGGCGGACCATCTAAACGAGGTAGTCATACAAACAAGAAAAGCTTTAATTCATTTCGGAAAAAAAAAATCTGGAAAGAACGAGAGGATTGAGCACGAATTAAACCTGCTCTGTTTCACTTTGGAGGCCAAGCCGACGTATCTCATCAAATCCTTTGTGGAGAAAGGTTGCCTACATCCAAAAAAAAGGCAAAATGTGAATTTGTGATCAACATGTGAGAGTAATACTTTTCACATGCACAGCAGTCATTAATAAAATACAGTCACACCAAAGTCCCTTGAGAGTCAGAGCAGGGTTTTTTTTAATAGGAATAACTAAACCACTAGTATCTTGAATGATGAAAGTGAAAAAAACCTTCCAAGCAAACTTAAAGCGGCCAGCAATGGGAAGGAAAATTTTGTACTTGAATTTTATAAGGATTGTTTCGATAACAAACCTGAAGCGTACCACGGGGAATGGAAACTGCTTCCCATTTATTGTCATAAGAATCCCTGCCCTTCTGAAGAAATGTCAATGCCCTAACAACCTGCATTAGTAACAAAATTTCAATATAAACGTAGTCGTAAGGAAATGGATCCAAACCTGAAAAGCTGCACACCATCTGAGCCACCAATTTATAAAGGACATACTCTTTCCAAAGGTAAGAAAAATGCTGATGCACTTGAGGACTTGCTTCCAGCATTCAATGCCACTGCCCTGCCTTGCCAATCAATTACTGGGGAACCACTTGATCCACCTTTAGTTCCAGATGCAGCCTGAAATAAAATGCAACTCAGGAGATTAAACAAAGCATGAATCATTTTAAAACTTAAAAACAAATAAGTAGGCATCCAAAGAAATATAGACATGTACATAGGATATAGGCACAAAACTAATATGACGATACAAGACTCATTAAAGAATAAGACACGTCAATGGCTGAAGTAGCAAAAGAAAGAAACTTTTATTAAAAATGCATGTGTTACGAAAACAAACTTTTTCATTTCAAGTTCCAAGCCATTTTTAAATGGTCAAATAACTTTGGAGAGTTTTGGCGGTCGTAAGATTGAAGCTGGAGTTGGCTCTTTCCCTTTGTTTGTATCTTTTATTCTTCGTTTCTGTTCTATTGTTGGAAGTTCTTTCGAACTCTCTTCATATCTTTTCAGTTTATGAATGAATTTTTTTGTTTTAGGACAGGGAGTATGAAACTTGGAGGATTATTACCGAAAATCTACAAGAGGAAGAAATTATTTTGACAACTTAAGTAGGTTAGGATCAGCCCTACCCTATGCCTAATCCCCCACCCATTCTTCGTTTTTATTTTTTTTCCTGTCGTAAATTTAATTCTCATCAGTTATAGCAAAAGACAGAAGAAAGAAACATTGACACACGAAAAGTTAAATCACTCACTTGCATGTAGAATGTGTTGAAATCATTATATCCATCTCTGCAACAAACGTAAAAATAATTGTTATGCTACAAAAACAAAAACAAAAAAATATTTAATTGGCCTGACAAACAGCAGGCCACAGGTCACAGACAAGTAACAGAAAAACTAAAACAAAGTATAAAGTCGTGATGATTACTTGTTCCAGCAGTGTGAAGCGCAAGTCTTGAGGCAGTATGAGAAGTAAATGTCATTTGAAATTAAAAAAATATATATATTTAAATAATAAGACATAAAACCTTATATATTCCTAACATTAAAATATTTCTTAAAAGTACATAACACACTCAAAAATTAATAATTATTAAAAAAATCTAAAAATCCACCGATTTTCATTACTACATCTAACTTTCTTGCATTAGTAATAATCTAAACAAAATGGGAAAAAAAAAGTAGGAAAAAGAATAAAACTCACTGTGAACAAAAGCAAAAAGAAAACAAGAGTAAGGAAAAATAAAATAAAACAAAACTCACCTAGTTGTGTTGTTGTCAAAAATAAATGTAAATGTATGTTGAATGTATGTTTATTTTTTATTTTCTATATACAAATTGAAAATAAAAATATTTTATCTACTGCAAATTCTTTAATATAGAATGCTAAATAGGAATGCATAATACCTAGACCATAATTCAATGTTCATTTGAAGTAAAAATAATAAGCTGAAAAAATAATTTATGAAAAAGACAAGGAAACGTGCATAACCTACTTCTTATAATGAGGAGCCTCCCGATCCAGTCGAGCAAGGGTACCAGCTAAGATAGAAACCTGTAAAATCATTAAATAAGAGTTAATTGGGAAAAAACAGAGAATCAAAATGGAAATATCTATCAGTAGGAATTCATGGAGGATATGAAGTTCAAAAATAATAATATATTAATTAAAAACTTGCATATGATTAACTATTAAAAATAAAGTGGATGGTTAAGGGTTTAGGTGCATTGTCCCTCTCTATCTAGCGCTCTCTGTCTCAATGGCACTTGGTTTCTATGAACCTATTGATATGTTTCAACCAAAGCACATCGTAAGCCAAAGAAGAATGTAGTCTCCACTTCAACATTTTAACTATCATGCTTGATGAGAAAGGAGAACAAGTGGAGAAAATAACTGTAAGGCAACATGAAGACATCAACCCAAGAGAATGATTTAGAGGATAATTAGTGTTATGAAGGATTTAAAGCCCTAAAGCAGTGTTTTCCCGTGTATTTCTTGTGTAATCTTCTTCTGTATTTCATGTGCAATTCATTTAAAAGCTATTAGGCCCAAAGCCAAGTGTGTTTAATTGACCCATTTGATAATCTACCAACTTGTAGTTAAATACAATTCTAGTTAAGTTTGTTTAGGATTTACTTTAATTCTAGATATGAATCTTAATTTTCTTTGAAGCCTCCAAAAAAACCAACTTAAAAACAGCAACCCAAACTAATCAAAAGCCAAGAAAATACTCAACAAGCTAAAGAACGCAAAACGATCCAACGAAAGATCTGTTCCAAACAGCCAAAACCAACTAAACATAAACAGCAAACCAACAGCGGTGTGCTTCCAGCACCCCCGACAGAAAAGAACAAATCTATCTACTTCTAAGAACTTCTAGCCCCATTGGAGTTTGAATCTACAAATTGATTTTTGGGCTTGGTAGGAATGCAGGAGATGCTAACTTGAGTGAAGTAATCTAACAAGTCCACTGTCTCAAAATATATATAATTGCCTTTCTATTTGGCGTTTAAGCTAAAAGTCCTACAAAGTCTCATACTAAAAAATAATGGATGGAACTTTTTTTGCAATATATGCCAGTACTTCAACATAGTTCAACATTTAGCAATAGGAAAAATAATGCAATGACTGGACTGAACAATATTTTTCTTTTTCTTCTCTATTCTCCTTTTTTTTTCCTTTTTCCTTTTAAGAATCCAGGGTAAATCAATGATATTGTACCTTCTCGCCACTATCATTACCAACAACTCTGATTTCGAGTCCAACACTAGCAGCCTCTGGAGCCAGGGGAATCTCCTCGTAGTTAAGAAATTGTATTGCCCCAGGATCATAACGAAAGAAGCCAAAATCATGGACCTAATAAGATGATAGTGACGTGCAAAATATTAGTGGTCACTCCTATCTCATCATAAATAAATAAAAAACTTCAAGAAAAACAAAGATGTAAAATTGCAGAACAGAAAGTTAAACAATATGTTAAATAATTGTTTTTTTTTTTTACTCAATGACAGAATAAAATGTTCCAAACCCATGCTTTTTTTTTGATATGAAGCACAGACACTTAAGAAACACTTAAGAAACGTGTTCATGTATGTGTCCGACATGCATCACAAATACTCCAACACTTCAATACTAGTCGGACATGTCTTAATTAGACACTTATTAAGCACATGTGAGACTAGTGTTCGAACATTTATTATCTTTTTTTTTAATTGAAGAACATACTTTCATCAGAAAGATGAAAAAAAAATGCAAGGAGAGCTTTTTTTATTATTATTATAATAAGTAACTGAACTTTCATTGAGAAAAAATAAAAGAATCCAAAAACACAATGAGAGACCCATAGAAAGATGGGCTCGACCAAAACAAGGGAAACATCCCTAGAACCATTAACAAGAATGACCACGTAACTCCTGAAGACCAAAAATGACTAATTACGAAATAAAACATGATGGACGCATAAAGCAATATATGACAGAAAAAATAAATTTTATAGTGAACACATCACATCTTCTCTAAGCATATAAATACATAAGCCTTGTAGTCTTGAAAATTCCGTTCGATAATATGTTAAGCCATTTAGAAAAATTATCATAATACTAATTGAAATTTCCTTCACAAAAAGAAATAGCGTGTGAATGACCGGAACATACAAAAATAATTATCTACATTTAAAAAATATATACTCCAATAAATATGTTCTTGTTGTGTTCATGTCTTAGATTTTTAAAATCTTATCCAAAGGTTTTGACTTCTCTTGGCAATTGCAACACCTTTTTTTTCTTAATTGTAACTATTGAAAGTCATACGTATAGATTTATACAGCTTCTTGCAACAAATAGCTACTGAAGGGTCTTTTCTTGTAGCGGCCTAGACCCACCGCTAGCAGATATTGTTCTCTTTGGGCTTTCCCTTTCGGGGTTCCCCTCAAGACTTTAAAACGCGTCTGGTAGGGGAAGGTTTCCACACCATTTATAATGGTGTTTTGTTCTCCTCCCCAACCAACGTGGAACATCACAATTCTTAACAAAAGTCTGAACTTCCAGCCAAAATCAAAGCCTTTTTTTTCACAATTCCGTCGTAATGGCTTCAGTATTAAACCAGTTGGTTGGCTATAAGCCATTTATATGAAGGATAGTAGCAAGTATTTTTAAATCAAGAAACAGATAGACTGACCGGATCTCTGTATATAGGTCGTACAGGAACTTCTTCCCTGTTCACAAACATAGCCTCTGCTACTACAGGTCCTGAAAACAAAGAATACAAGAAAAAAATTTAAAATAGATGGCCAAATCTTAAGATTCATACAATTATAAGTGACACAGAACAATAACAGATTCATACAATGTATACTTCTGCTACTAGATGGACAACAATTAGTAAACCCAAGAGAAAAGGGCATTCCTGATGGCTGATTTTTGCTTTCAAATTTAAACACACCGCATTGTGCAGCATTTATCTTGATTCAGATACTCAAATTAATAGGGGGCAGCAATTATCCATACAATGTAAAACAATCGCGCCCATCAAACAGTTGATAGACTTCATTGACTTTCTGATACCGATTCTATGTAAAACCGAGCTTATTTCAGATGCTCAACAATGTCTAGAAAGCAGAATTGAACTTCTACTCCATATTCAGCAAAGAAAATGAAATATCTCAAATCAAGGTCAAAAAATACCTGGCTTAACAACATGTCGATTGGTGAGGATAATCCCACGGCGCTTATCGACCACAAAGCCAGTGGCATAGCTCGCACCGGCCGATTCAGTGTCGAAGGCCCGACAAGCCGTGGTGCGCAACACGACCACTGCAGGAACAACCTTGCTGAGGGCTTTCCGCCAGTCATCAGCTGTGGCCAAATTCTCGCGGAAAGGCGGGTCGATCTCCATGCAGAGCTCGTCCTTGGTGGTTGAGTCAATCCCAATTGCCGCCGATTCCGACCCCAAGCTTTCCGAAGCATCAGCCATTGAAATAAATTACTGTAAACGACTATGAATACTCCGAGGAATTGAGAAACGAGGGTGAAAATAGGAAAGATAGAGAATTTAGGGTTTGATCTGAAATGGGTTTTAGAGAGGATTGAAGATGAGTCAAAATTCAGTCCATTATTTCGCCTCAACGATTAAGGATTGTCTATTGGGAAGAACCAAGAACTCTGTGCTGGTTGGTCATTGCTTCAAGATCTTCAATTTTTTTTTTTAATTATTTTATTTTTATTTTATTTTTCGGTATACAGAAATGAATAAAAGAAAACTAAAATTCCGGAAAAAGACAAATGGGAGCTGATGTGGCAATGCTTGACAAGCTGGAATTTCGTGGCAGAACAGCACTCCTATTCCTTTCTTTGTTTTGATTTAGGTGTGATTAATGGACGGGGGGATGTACTAAGAAAATGTTGGCCCCAAAGCCATTTTTAGCTCTTTTCTCGTGTCGAAACCGCTTATCTTCTCTTCGACCGATACCAAACTACGAAATTTTAAATGAAATATTTCATTTCAACCCTTAAGAGTTTCAAAAAATTCTTTCAAATCACTTTATTGATGTGAATGGCATGAAATTTATTAGATAAATAATGTTACTTTCTTACGTATGTATTCTTGTGTCAATTTCTTTCTATCGTTGCGATAAATATGCATAGGCCAAACTTCCGAAAATTGTAGGATGGCAAAAGCAGAGGAGCAGCATAACGCAAGAAAGTTATGGATTAGTCTCACCTAATATTGGAATTAGGAAACAAAGATAGAGTGTTCGTTTATTAAATTTTTTATTTCATGATATCCAAATAGCGACAATTTTATAATGTTCATGATCCACGTATATTTTTAATGTATGCACGTAAAGAACAAACTAGCTAAATCACGAGCAAAGTTGAATAATTTTTAGCCCCACGTGCACGAAAACAACAACCCTTCATTAGATAAACAACTCACAATGAATCCATTATCCATTTCAACAACTGAAGGAAGGAAGGAAGAAGGAAAAAAAAAAAGGCACTATTTGATCAAATAAATAATGCTTTTGCTAAAACGAATTTTCTAAATGAATGAATGATGAATTGATCGGTTGACACACTAAATACACAAATGAATGACCATCGTGCAAGAGTGAAATTGCTTTACCGAGAGAAAAAAGGCGAAGCTGCTCGAGACTTCCGAGCTTGGTGGCTTCTGTAGTTAAAAGATAAGATGATGGTGAAGAGGCGGCATTATGATTTTTGGGAGCGATTGAGGAATGAGCTGCTTTTGGTGATCTCCGACAATGGCTTGTCTGTGAATCTCATCAGGTTGTAAGTAAATGCTCCGGCAATAGCTCCGATCAACGGCCCAACCATGTAAACCCATAATCCTTTGAACTGTCCCTTCACTATCGCAGGTCCAATGGTCCTAGCTGGATTCATGGAAGCTCCTGAAATGGGCCTATGTTTTGTTTTCAGAAATAAAAAAAAAAAAAAAAAAAAAAGCGTGTGTGAGACAACTTTTTAAATGGTATAGAAAATTTTGCAAGGATTGGGTTAAGAATCCCTGCAATGAATTCGTGGGAATTGAATCTCTAGGAGAAGCATTTCCCATTTAAATTCATTTCCTTTTAAACATCTTAATAGAAATAAAATAATATATCATACCAAATTCTCTAAATCATGAACAATTATGTGTGTCTATATATATAACTAAAATAGGAGAAAAAAAAACAAATGGATATTCTCGATATTTAGTCTTCATGGAACACCATCGTTTAGAGTAAAAAATGGACATTCTTGATATTTAGTAGTTTTGAAATTTTTTAAATTTTTAGTGTTGGAATTATATCAACAGTAAAATGAAGTTTAGAGTTACCCAGCAACGAAGACATTCAAAAGAACGGTCATTCCAACAACAATTCCCGCCAATTCTCCTACCTGTTAAAGAAAAATATAGATGAATACAGTGCTTATTTTTACAATATTTATCAACCCATCAGCCTCAATAATCTAAAATAAATTAGAATTTTTTTAAAAAAATTCTATTGAACAAAAGTTCTCAAACTACTTAAAGAAAAAAAAAAGTTTAAAATGTAAAATTAAGGATATTTTAAAATGTATCCTGCCCATAAAAGCATTTTTTTAATAAAGTTTTTTTTTATAAACAAAATAATTAATAATCAATCAAATCCATAATGAGCAGATTTAACCCGAAAGAAGTATTTAAAATCCCCCAAAAAGGTATTTATGGCCATTTAATAATCACCTTATTTTTAGTTTTTATATTCTTAGAAACAAAAAAAAAAAAAAAAAAAAAAAAAAAAAAAAAAAAAAAAAAAAAAAAAANAAAAAAAAAAAAAAAAAAAAAAAAAAAAAAAAAAAAAAAAAAAAAAAAAAAAAAAAAGAAAGGAAGAAAGAAAGATTGAAAGAAGGAACCTTGGATCCACGGTCTAATTTTCTTTTTTTTCAACGGGTTTCCAAAATCCCAGCCAAAATTTCAAAAAGAAAAAAGTATTTGAAGACTTGTCACTACAAATCTTAATTTGTTCTATTAAGCTTTTGGATGACTTACAGCTCTGTGATCAGTGGAGACACCAGAGACGACTAACAGCAAGAGGAAGGTGATGATGATTTCAAGGACGAAAGATTGGACATCGGATCCTGCCGGCACTGTCCCAAAGAAGGCTTCCGGGGTCACTTCAAACAATAGGTCCAGTGTGGTGCTTGCAAGAAGGGACCCTGCTACTTGAGCTCCTATGTATATTGGAACCTGAAATATGTAATCAAACAAAATATAACTCGGCTATAACATTCATAACTGCGTTTCGTGCCAAAAATAAATTGTCTATTTGGAGTTGAAATTTCTTTAAGTTTATCATGAGATGATGGTAACAGAAGAGAGAGACCTGGCGAAAGGGGAAGCGACGAAAAATGGCGAAGGTGATTGTAACAGAAGGGTTGAAGTGCGCTCCAGAGATGTGTCCCAACGAATACACCATAACCATCACAATCAATCCCCAAACCACGCAGATTCCGGGGAACGTCACTGATCCGTAAATTTTGTTCACCACCACCGCTCCACATCCGGTGAAGATCACGAAGTACGTTCCAATCACCTCCGCAATAACCTGCCACAAATTTTTCAGAGAAACTAACACATTTTATACACTTGATTGATCAGATCCATGTACCGCATTTTCCGGAAAAACAAACAGGTTTTACTGCGAAACAAACAATTTTATACAATTTATTGATTCATGTGCCGCATTTGGGGAGAAGCTAACGAGTTTTATACAGTCGATTGATTTGCGAGCCAGATTTTTCAGAGAAATAAACAAGTTCCTTACAGTCGATTAGTTCATTTGGCAGATTTTGCAGAGAACCAAACAATAAACTTAAAATTTGATTGATTCAAGTGCCAGATTTCGCGGAGAAACTAACAATAAACTTAAAAGTTGATTGATTCAAGTGCCAGATTTTGCAGAGAAACTAACACATTTTATACAGTCGATTGATGCATGTACCAGATTTTCCAAAGAATCAAACAAGTTTCATACTCTCGATAACCTAATATCTGCATTTCGATAGGAACCAGCACAGTTTGCGTAGTCGATTCATCCATATGCCAGATTTTGCGGAGAATAAAACAAGTTATCACACACGAGAGATAACGTGCAGCACTTTCCAGATAAACAAACACGTTGTATCAAACAATCAATTGATTGGCGCGCAGAAGAGAGAAATAACAGAGGCAGTTGAAGCGGTACCTTTTGGATGGTAACGACACAAGACGATGGACGGAGGCGCGCGACGCCGGTTCCGAGAGTGCCTTCCTCGAGCTTTGAAATTTCTTCCTCTTGGATTCCGTCGGTCTTCGTCGCCATTGATTCTCAGATGCCGATACAAGAAACACGCTTTCGATCGGAACGATATCACGAATTTTCACTATGAACTCTCCGATTAGTTTCCCTTTCTGTTCTTCCTTCTTTTTAGGAAGGCCTCGTTTGTTATGGTTTCACTAGATGGAACTATGAGCTCTCTCAATTCCTTGCGACTTATTTTACTTATTTATATAATTTATAATATATTATATTATACGAATTTACTTAATAAAAAAAAAAAATACCGTTATTGCATAAAATATTATATTTATTAAAGCTTTTATTTCTTTTAAATATATATATACATCTCATTCCAACTTATATTTTTCTTAAAATTTTGTCCTCCATGAAAATATCTATATAATAAGTTATAAATCGTTAATTAAGGAGATTAATATTTCAAAAGATGATCGTATCACAGACTCTTGTATGGAAGAGCTCGACTTTTGACTTACATGAGCGATCATGCATTTTGCAGCTAATTCAACGTCTAATTTTACGATATAAAATCTCACGTAGGATGACTACATGAGTAGTTTTCTTAAATGTTGTTCGTTACTTGAACGACGAGGTCTTTATCTCTCGTTAGCCTAAAAATAGATTTAGTTTATGACTCGATCATAAACAGATTATTACAACACAATTATAATAATTACAAACAACGAGGAAATAATCAATTTATATGTGATGATTATATCTAATACGATTATAAATCTATAGCAATTATTATCGTAAAGTTCATTAATTTTATAACATTAAAATTTATAATCAACAGGTCCCTAAAAACTTCATATTAATTTATATTAACACAAAAAAAAATTAATTGAAAGGCTCGAATTAATATTTAATATAGAAAAATATAATTAATACGAAGTTTTTAAATTAATATTTCATAAAAAAAAAAAATGGTTGTATTTGACCAATTAAATATTAAAATAACAATACATAAATTAGTTCCACTTACCTCATAATATTTCATTTAAATATGATATAGATTAAAAAAAATACATTTTAAATATATTATTTTATACGACAATAATTTTTAAATAGATTTATGAGGTTATTGTTTTTAGTAGACTTGTTTTAAAATCGTAAAGCTAACATTAATACGGGCCAAAACTATATTATTATTGAGAAATAATCGATTTAATACAACAAAATGTATAATATATCAATTAAAATTTATTTTTCATGCTCAATCATAGTTGAATTATGTATTAAAATTTAATAATCTAGTAAAAAAAAAAAAAAAAGTTGAAATACCTGCGATGGGAGAAACTGTAGGGATGAAGAACATGTGACTTGGGCAATTACAAAGCTATGCCCTAAGTTGAGCAAGAATCGGTTGGGCGCAACGATTTCGAAGAACAAGGAGACGACAACAAGTGGTTCCGATCCCAATAATTTAGGGAAAACTAGGGATTATTAAAGGAGGAAGAAAATGGAAGAGGAGGAGAAGAGATTTGGCTTAATCGAGATTATTCCAAAACCTAATCCAATCAAATCAACGCTCCGGAAGAAATGGCAGACAATGGCGTAGACTCAGCCGAGTGCGAGAGGATTTTCAAGCGATTCGATGCGAACGGCGACGGGCAGATCTCGGCGACGGAGCTCGGCGACGCACTGAACGGAATCGGAGTGAGCTCTGAAGATGCGAAGAGGATGATGGACGCCATTGATAAAGATGGCGACGGCTTCATTTCATTCCAAGAATTCTTCGAGTTTGCCAAGGATAATCGCGCTTTGATGAAGGATTTTGCCAAAGCCTTTTAGATTTTTTTTCCTTTTTTTTTTCCCCCCCTTCTTTTATGACTACAATGAAGAATTAATATCACATCAAATCATACTAAATATGTTTTTATTTATTTCTCTTTATTATGAAAAAATAAAAAATTATTTTACTTAGACTCTTTTTACTTATCGAAATAGGAACAATTATCGAAATAGGAACAAAAACGTCATAACAATACCAATGATGTTTAAATGGAAAGTTGGTTGTAAACCCTCTTTCAAAGTTCGGACGAAAGAAATTCTATAAGATGGGTGTACATTTGGGATTCTCGTTTTATAAGTCAGATCCAAAAAGGATGAAATGAGTCGAAAAATAGATCCTGGAAACTAGTTCCCAGTTTAGATAAGAGACGAGATTAGAAATTCTAGTCGTCAGCCACCGAGTGACAAGAACAATCAGGGTCGTCCTATCTGCCTATAAAGATTCTCGAGCTTTCTAATATTATCAAAATCAAGCTCCAGCCAACTTTACTTATTTAACTCAATCGGTATGAGATACCCGGAATGGGGGTACTGACATATACACCTTACTCCTTGCCTTTTAGTAAACCTTCTAATCGGAGAGGCTTAGTGACGTTGGAAATCGGAGAGGCTTAGTGACGTTGGAATCAAACTAAAGGATCTTGCTCAATGACGCAGACAAACTGACTCCTTTGGGGAGGAAGGTTAACCTAATTGTCGAACCAAGAGGGGAATTCCTTCCGACCATCTAATTTTATTTCATTAGAAAACTTCGGGGACTTCGCTGGCTCTAATATTCAAAGAGATATGCGATAATTTTATAAATTCGGCTCAGAAAATCAAAATAAAAAAATATTTTCTAGATTTAAAAAATTGAAAAGTTATTTAGTAGAATGAGGAATGGATACCAACGTTGAGTTGCTTATAGAGTTTTGCTACCCATTACAAATTATATTTATATCATAGTGAAACAAAGAAGGTTCAAACAAAAGTTTAATATTTGAATACAATTCCACACCCAATCACACCACAAATGGGAAATATCGTCAGCAAATAAACATCTTTTATCAACCGTGCCCATGACAGTCCAATAAAAACTAAACTTATTTCATATTTTATTTCAAACAAATTCAATATCTCACTCTAACTTTAAAAATATAAAAAAAATACTCACTCTCGGTACCGCTGCAAGAATATGGAGTCCCCACATTGGAGAGCGTGGAAACCTTTTAGCAATGGGCTGGGTTGTTACAAATGGTATAAATACCGGTCTCGGAGCAGAGCTCGGGACTGACTACATCTGACCCATTTGCAATTTCTGGTATCATGACCTCTACGACTAGTATGTCTTTTAGGTTCCAACCCCATTTATGTTTAGACTTAGTAGTATGATATTACTTGTTTAACTCTTTCATGTGGATCTGCTTTTGGTTGGACACTCCTGATTCCAAACATGTTAGGGTTATTGGAAGTGAGGTATTTTAGGGAAGCCCAAAGTAAAGCCATGAAAGCTTATGTTCAAAGTAGACAATATCATACCATTGTGGAGAGTCGTGATTCCTAACAAAAGAAAGGAGTTGGGGTTCGGTGTGCCTGCAAGAACGTTGGGTCTCCAATGAGACTCAATCCCCACATTGGAGAGTGTGGAAACCTCTCTCTCTTAGTGGTGAACTTGGACAGTTACAAATGGTATCTCAACCAGTCATCAAGCACGAGGTTTGGGTCTCCAATGGAACTCAATCACCACATTGGAGAGTGTGGAAACCTCTCCCTTGGAAACGAAGCATTCTTGGTGTAGAAACCTTTCCCTTATTTAGAAAAGAAACGAAGCATGAAACATTACTTACAAGGGCGTAGAATCAACAAACAAATTAGGTTATTTTACACCACTTGCAAATCTAACCGATAAAAACTCTATAAACTTGATTTAATATACAGTCAAGTGGGAAAAAAAGTGATCATCGTGACCTGCCACAAGAGTGTTAAAAAATGATAAAAAGTTAGCCAAATTATTGAGTGGTAGTTCAAATCATTCCTCAAATGTTCACCCAAATTCACTATAAAACACTTCTATTAGCCTCAATGATGTCACCTCAAAACAAAATGAGCCGAACTGATAGCATTTGGGTAAAGGTTCCGCTGAAGTCTTCACCAGAGAAGTACTATGGCTTCTTCAGGAACCATATGGGGGATCTGGTCAATCTGTTCCCTCAGTATTACAGCAGCATTCAGCTTGTGGAAGGTGCAAATTTCTCTCCTGACTGCATTATACAGTTCAAATACAGCCTCGGTAAGAGACTATCTACTATCTACGTTATCGTTTAATTTCATTTTAATTTCTATTTTAGTTTCAAAACTTTTAAAAACATAATGGAATTTCTTTTCTTTGAACATGAACGAACGAACGAACAAACAGGAGAAACAGGAGGTCGATCATTATCAGCCAATGTAAAGATCAAAACTGTGGATGATGCGAAGAAATTGTTGGCTTATAATATTATTGAAGGAGATGTTCTAAAGCATTACAAAGTGTTTGAAGTAAGAATGGAAGTTGTTAATGGAGGGACAAGCAAAGGAGGAGGTGGGAGCTTTGCAAAATGGAGCGTTGTGTTTGAAAAGGCAAATGAAAACGTGGCAGCACCAGAAGACTACCTGGAATGGTTTGTCAAGATTTGCAAAGGCGTTGATGCTTACTTTTCCAAGAACTAAAACCCTAAAACAATCAAGTGAGCTAAGCTCTTAGGCTGTGTATCAACTTGGTTTGTTCTTAAATAAAGAGTATGCACGGCTGCATATCAGGTTAAAAGGATTCATGTTGGTTTGATAGCTAGTAGTTAAACAAACAGGTAGCATACTCATATCGTGAGTTGTTGAATCCAAACTTCAAATCCTGGACAAGTGACACTATATTTTTAGGATTTGATAACACAAACAAACCGAAAATTACGAGAGGATTAACGTTGAACCAAAAAAGTTTTAATTACTTACCTTACAAAAGTTCATTTCATGGAAGTTATTTTACTCATTGAACAAATTTCCAAAGTTTTTAAATATCTAAGAAAGTAAAATGAATAGCGATCAATAGATACGAAGGGAGGGTATAGAATGGAACTAAATGGATGCTTACATTAGTGGTTGAGGTGACAAGGGAGAATGTCGTAGTCACAATCTGAAACATGCATGAAGTGATCGATTTTTTTCTCGTGAGTTAATTTAGGAAGAGAGATAGATGGGGCAACTACCTTTGGGACCCTACCCAACCTATCTCGACCAACATCCTTAAATCTCTCCTGAATTCTACGAACCTAACTCATATCCTATCAAGTATTTGAGATTCTCTTCTATCCTCTGAGTAGCTTTTTTTTTTTTTTTTTTCTCTCTGAGCTAATTCAATAAGAAACCTATAGTTTAGAGATGAACAAAAAACTATATGCTCTTTATGGTTCGACGGTAGGAATAGGTAGTAGTGAGACATAAAACAGGGAAGGAATTGATGTAAAAATAGTGTAGCATTGAACCGCTGCTAGCTTGCATAATTAGTGAGTCGAGAGAGAGGAAAAATGTAATATCCCATATTGGTTTGAGAGGAGAACGAAACACTATTTATAAGGGTGTGGAAACCTTTCCTAGTAGAAGTGTAACGGAGGAAGCCCATAAGGGAAAACCCAAAAAAATCTTGAGGGAGGACAATGGGGAAGCACCCGTTCTTTCCTTGAGAGGACAATATCGGGACAACAAATCGTATTTTTACAACACTGTTGATTGCATCGAGATAAACTTTAAAGAATATCACGACATTGTACCACATATCCCATCATGATATGTAAATAGAGACGAAATAGTGACTCGATCCAAAACTAAATTTGTATGGTTGCAACGACATGTATAAAGGCATGTTGTCCGTAGGTCGGGGCATACTTACGATAGCTAACAAAGGTGTTGTAACAGCCAAAGCATACTGCTAGTAGATATTGTCCAAGGTGTTGTAACAGCCCAAGCATACTGCTAGTAGATATTGTCCATTTTGGCCTGATATGTATCCTCGTCAGCCTCAGAGTTTTAAAACGCGTCTACTAGAGATATGTTTCCACACCCTTATAAGAAATATTTCTTTCCCTCTCCAACCAATGTGGGACCTCACAATCCACCCTCCTAGGGGCCAGCGTTCTTGTTGGCGCAACGCCTGGTGTTTGGCTCTAATACCATTTGTAACAGCTCAAGCCCATTGCTAGTAGATATTGTCCGTTTTGACCGATTACGTATCACTATCAGCCTCACGGTTTTAAAACGCGTCTACTAGGGAGAAGTTTCCACACCTTTATAAGGAATGTTTCATTCCCCTCTCCATATTTTAGAGCTCTTGTTGGTTGGAGAAGGAAACGAAGCATAGCCCTTATAAGGGTGTGGAAACCTCTCCCTAGCAGACTCGTTTTAAACCCGTGAAGTTGACGACTATATGTAACGGGTCAAAACGCACAATATTTGTTAACGGTGAACTTGAGTTGTTACAAATGGTATCATAACCAAGTTATCGAGGTAGTGTGCCAGTAAAAACGTTAGGTCTCCAAGAGAAGTGGATTGGTATCATAACCAAGTCATTGGGGCAGCGGACTAGCAAAGACGTAAGATACCCAAAACGGGTGGATTGAGAGATCCTACATTAGTCATCGCAACAATATGCCAGCAAGGACATTGAGTCCCGAAAGGAGTGGATTAAAAGATCCCATATTAGAGAGTGTGAAGACCTCTTTTGTTGGAGGGAACAAAGCATTTCTTATAAGGATGTGGAAACTACTCCCCGATAGATACAATTTAAAACTGTGAGGCTCTCGCTCTTATAAGTTTCGAGTTTTGGTCTTATTCATATTTATTTTTGTTTCTCTAAATAAAATGAAGTGATTAAGAATTTTCATGGAGGTATTGTTGATTGGATTGAGCTAACAAACAAACAAATTACATTATTTTACACAACTTGCAGATCTACAACAGATAAGAACACTATAAACTTGATTTAAAATACATTCAGTGGCAAAAAAAAGTGTTCATCATGACCTGCCACAACAGTGTTAAAAATTGTTAAAAAGTTGGCCAA